TGCAATGTGGAGCCTACTTAAAAACAACAACAACAAAACAAAACCTAGACATTTATTCAATTTTCATAGAAATCTGAATCTGTAAGTGTTGTAAACCAACCGTTTAAAAAAAAAAATGGCTACAGTTAACTCATTCCAACCCTGTTCCTCTGCAATGTGACCTTGCAGCTCCAACCATCAAGAGGTGAAATCTCTGACTCCACTTCTTGAATTGGGGTTGGCCTTGTGACGTTCTCTTGACAGTAAAAATAAGGTCTTAAAAATTCAGCTCTCGTACTTTTGGAATGATGCTCTGAGACCACCATGTGGGGAAGTCTTGTCTAGCCTACCAGAGGTTGAAAGCCCATGTGGAGCAGAGATAAGAAGACCCAGCTGAGGTCTACTAGCCCAGTTAGCTGACAGACAGAAATGTGAATAAGCCCATCTTAGACCATAGAGGCCCAGCTGAGCTGCAAGATGATGTGAGCTGCAGAATGAACCACAGAATTTTTAACTGTTATTGTTTAGCCATTGCCTAAGTTTTGAGGTAGGCCACAAAGCAGAAGAAATCAGTCACCTTGTGAAATACCCACTGTATATGAAGCATCAAGTCAGATACCCTATGGGAGACCTAAATGGAGATCAATAATACGAGACAGAAGACATGGTGGTCCTGTCCTTCAAGTGTGAATATATCTATAAATAAAGTAGCACTTAATAATTATCTATTTTATCAATTTTTTAGTATATGTGCTGTTGAAGTTAGCACAATAGTTATCTGTATTAAATATATCTATTCTATATTAAGAACCTACCATTATTCCTACAGGACAGAGAAAGGGTCTTCCTAGAATGTTCAAGATAATCCCATGGGGTAGGAAAAAATAGTTAGATATATTATTTTTTAATTAATATTTTTCATTTTTGAATATTTTCATATTGTACATTATATACATGTTTTCATAAGGTACATAGCATATATTAATATGCTAGTATATAAACATTATTTATGTATACATAAAAATACATATAATGGGGTTTTCCAGTCATTTCTCCCACAGATCTTCAACCTTCCATCCCTACACAAAAAAATATACTTCTCTATGCTTTGCTTTTCTCAAATAAATTAATTCCTCCTCGACTATATAGGGAAGAATCTGTGATAACTACTATCACAGATCACTGTTCATCTATACTGTAATTACTTAGCAAGGTTATAAGCATGTTTCAGATAGGGTGTCTATATTCATTCTGGACAAGGTGTCTGTAACTGTGTGTCTTTGGCAGTACAGCATATGGCATTATGGCATGATTTTTAGTACAGTTTCTGGAGCCAGGGTATGTGGATTCAAATCACAGTTCTGCCAGTTATTAGCTGTGCAAACTTAAAAAAACAATTCTCAGCTGAAAATTATTACTGGGATTATTTCCTTAAGAATTGTCTTCTAACTATAATCTCTTTCTTGGTGGTAATCATCAGACCTGGTTTACTGCCCATCCACATGAAGCATTTAGATTTCTGTGGATTTATGTAAGATGAAGATCCACAAATCCATTTCTCCTTAATATACTATTGATAGCCTATAGATAATACTATACCATTGAAAAGGACACTGGCAAGAATTATTATATATCAAAGGGGAAACGGGTCACAGAGATCACCTCCCTATTTCCCTCACTTCACAACTAGGGACACTGGGCTCACAGAGGATCAATGATTTGACTAAGTCCCACAACTGATTTGTGACTGAATTCTTTTTTCATTAGTCTTCTGCCTAGTTCATTGCACTTCTCATAACCCCAGTTTTAGGAACTATTTCTAGAAATCTTTCAAGTAAAAGTATATCATTTGTAATAAGGGAATTAAGGAAGCCACACCATAAATAACCAACTTAGTACATAACACACAGTGGACTTTGAATAAATGACTGGTGGAGTACAGGTAGAGGGATGAACAAAGCCTAACTGGCTGGCTCAGAAGTCCTCAAGGTTTCTAAAGTATTCTGACAGGGTTCTCAAGTGATGCCAGCAAACTGGGGCTGTTGAGAATCACTTCCCTCTCTCCCTCTGTTTTTAAGATTTATTTATTTATCTGAGAGAGAGAGAAAGTGAGTGTGTGCACTTGAGTTGGGGGAGGGGCAGCAGGAGAGGGAGAGAGAATCCTCAAGCATACTCCCCACTAAGTGTGAAGCCTGACATGGGGCTTGATCCCACTATCCTGGGATCGTGGCCTGAGTCAAAACCAAGAGTTGGATGTCTAACTGACTGAGCCACTCAGGTGCCCCTGGTGAGAAACACTTCTTAAACAGAGTACCTGACCAAGACACAAAGCTATTTTTTTAATCTCTTTTTTTTCCCTTCAGCACTCACACCTCATATTTCATTAAATTAAAGAGATAATCAAATAAACTTGCCTTTTCTTCTTGAATTTCAACCCCTGCTTTTTTTAAAAGATTTTATTCATTGAATTTTTTCCCTAACTATAAAGGTAATATAGACTCACTGAATAATTTTTGAGAATAAAAATAAAGTTAATAATAATATTAAGAAAAGTAATGTTTATTTAGAGTGCTAATTTTATACGAGGCATGTTGCAAACACTTGACATGTGCTGACATGTAATCTTCACAGTAACTTTAGGTTACAAATATTCTACTACTATCATTCCCATTTTATAGATGAGAAAAGTGAAGCACAGAGGTATTAAGTAACTTGTCCAAAGTTTTACAGCAAATTAATAATGGAGTAGGGATCTGAACTTAGGCAGAATGGTCCTAGAGTCCATGGTCTTTTGCACTCTTTTGTACTGTCACTGATCAAGTTTTGGTTTCTAATGCAAATTATAAGAAAAAAAACCTAAAAATTGATAAATTTGATTAAATTAAAATTTAAAATTTCTATACCATAAAATACAATAAAGTGAAAATGCAAGCTACAGACCAGAAAAGATAATAGCAAAACATATAATTAACAAAATGGATTTTATATAAAATATGTAATAAATTTCTACAAATCTATGAGGGAGACAACTAACACAAAAGAAAAATGAGCAAAGATCATGAACAAGCAATATGAAGAAACCCAAATGGCCTTTAAACACAAGAAAGGATGCCCATCTCACTAAAAATTATAGGATACAAATTAAAAAGTCAGATACCATTTCATTTATCAAAATGGGAAAAACTGTAAATTCAGTAATAGGAATTGCTGATGAAGATATGGAGCAATGAGAACTCTGATACTCTATTGTCAATTGGCATTCCACTTAGAGGAGCAATAATCCCTAGTAATGTTGAGAGAACACATGTTCCGCAGCCCTAACATCCCACTCCTAAAGAATACTTCCAGAGAAATGCATGCACACAGGAAAAAAAAAGTGATGTTCATTGCAGCATTTTTTTCTAATACTGAAAAAAACAAACAAATAAAAAAACCACTATTTAAACAAATACTGACAGTAAAATGTGTAAGTAAATGGTGGACTATTCATGTAATGAAATGCTATATAGCAATCAAAATATATAAACTAAAATAAAATAGAACAAGGAAGAATCTAGAAAATACAGAGTGAAAAAGCATGTTTCAGCAACATACAAATAAATATGCTATTTACATAAGGTTTGAAAATACACAAAGCAATACTATATATTGCTCAGCAGTATGTATACACACGTTCAAAAAAAAAGTATAAAACGTCTTAAGGGAATATACATACCAAATTCAAGATGGTTACTTTTGGGGTGGGAAGCATAGAGAATAGGTTAAGGAAGAGAGAAACACAGAGCTTCAACTGTGTCTATATACTTACATTAAAAAATCATTTTCTAATGTATATAGTAAACTAACACTTTATGAATTTGTGTGGTAGCATGTAATGGTTCATTATACTTCCCACACTTTTCTGTATGCTTTGGTTTTACAGATCCTTAAAGAAAACTATTTTTAAAAATATACATATATTTTTTTAATTTTTAAATAATCTCTATACCCAATATGGGGATTGAACTCACAACTCCAAGATCAAGTCCCACATTCTGCTGACTGAGCCAGTCAAGTGTCCCAGATATATTTTTTTAAAGAAATATTATTATAGAATGTATGGGGAAAAATATTATGACCCAAAAGCACTTCACTAAGATGATAAAAGTTTCAAGGTTTTAGGAGTAAAATTAATAATATATACATCACTGAAGTAGACTATAAGCTCAATTAACATTTGTCTTTTCATTAAAAACCTCAAAGGTGGAACAATTTTTCTTGCTATTATAAATTAATTTGGATAATTATATAATCAGATATAAGCTAATGTGTCCCTTAAATATGAATTTATTTTAATTATTTCCATAGGCAGGATTGTCTGTATTTTGGAGATGAGTGTCCTAACTATAAAATCTTGACGTATCCAAGGACAGATCTGGAATTTTAGCAGAATGTCAGGGATACAGCCAGGGACCAACCCTTCATTCCTTTAATATTAGATTTTGTTGTCAAAACAAAGTAATTTGAAGTATTTTCTAGCAGTATTTCTGATGTTTCTATTTTAAAGCACCAAAGACTAAGAAATTCCAAAAAATTTTTAAACTTCCAAAGGAAAAACTATAACATGAATCTGCAGAAATTTGGAACAATTAGCAAGTTTGCCATTTTACAATTACGTTAAGTACATCTTAACTCAAGTAAACACTTAGGCGTTGGTCAGAGGTATGACCTGGATCCCTGACATGAAATACTTGGTGAATGAAGTTCAAATATAGTCTGTTTACCCATGGACATAAGTGGCCTTAGTCAAAGCAGAACACCTTTTTTAAAATGTTGATTTAAAAAACAGAAGTGTAAATAAAACTGTGATTTATGAATCTACTAATGCTGTTCTCTGCTGTAGACTTCAGAAAGATTGAGTCTTTGGCTGCAGCAAATACAGCAAGAGTGCAGACCTGTTAAAGCAGTAATAGGTGCCCTTATTAAAACTCTACTTCCATTAAGAGGTACACACTGTTTTCCTTCTTTCCAGGCTTTAAAGAATGCGTTCCAGAAGCAGTGACACAGAGGGCTCGGCCCTAAAGCAATTTCCAAGACATAGTAAAGACCATGGTTTCCAAGGACCTGAGGACATGAAGCAGAGACAGCAAGACAAAGACCCCACCAATGAGTCAGATGCAATTCTTTCCTGTCCTAAGTCACACGGTGGTGTTGGTCACCATGGAGAAGACCTCTCAAGAGATGATCTTTTATTTCTTCTGAGCATTCTGGAAGGAGAACTTCAGGTGAGCTGGGTTAGAATTATCCCCATGTTCAAAGAGAAGGCTGCTTGTGAATTTGGGGTGTATGCTGCCATGGAAATAGATCGTCTATGGTTCTACCTGTATGTACATGAAAGAAAGTACACATATACAGAATTCTCTTATGCCAACTGAAAGGGCAATTAATCATATCTGAAAGGGCTGTCATTCTGACACGCAACTGGCAACCATCATGTGAAAGATCACATCCTCTGCCCATGCTGCTCACGAGCTTCAGTGCACAGGCACGTATGAGTAACAATAACTTCTAGATTGGCTTAAATAACAAGAGGCACTTTTATGCCCCATGTAAATTGGCTACTCGACTTGCTCTAGCATTATTAACTCACATAAAAAACAAGAAACAGCTACTACACATATAGGAGAGTCTTATTTCCTACTCCCCAAAATGCAAATGTCCGTCCATTTAAAGGGTACAATGTTATCTACTTGTCAAACAATAAAAAATGTTGGGTTCCCCCAATGTTGTATAGTGCTCACATTTAAAATATTGTTAATGTGTAATTAGATTATAAGAAGGATGAGGGACATAATTTTACTGCTTTTTGTAAAAGGTGCTATAAAGAAACATGACTCATTTTTTATTTGAAATAGAAGGAAAAAACCAGCTCTCAAGAAACCACTTTCAGAGAATGCTGGTAGATAAAGCAAGCTTTCTGAAATGGCTTTTGTTCCTACAGGCTCGAGATGAAGTCATAGGCATTTTAAAGGCTGAAAAAATGGACTTGGCTTTGCTAGAAGCTCAGTATGGGTTTGTCACTCCAAAAAAGGTGTTAGAGGCTCTCCAGCGAGATGCTTTTCAAGCAAAATCTGCCCCTTGGCAGGAGGACATCTATGAAAAACCAATGAATGAGGTATGTATCACATTAGGGGTGTGCACCTGGAAGGTGGAAAAGTTTACTAGCCAGCCAAGCACTTGGCCTGGAAGGTGAGCACGACATATAATTCTTTTTTGATTATTTACAGTTTTATGTTCTCACACATTTAAAATCTACCCAAGGTAGATAAATACTACATGTTCTACAGGAAAGAAAAGGAGAACAAATCATAGATGGGATGTTTCCACTAGGTATCTTTCTTGACATCAGACTGAAAGCTGACAAATACAGGATATTTTCTCTCTCTCACATACACTGAGAGCCAAAGACACTCAGATACACACACATGCACACGCACATGCACACAAGGGCAGCACATTATGGGGACTTGAAGGCTACACAGGCTATAATAAAAAACAGAAGAAGCTAAAATTTCTTTGAAAACACTGAGGCATTATGTCATAGAATTTTTTTTAAAGATTTTATTTATTTGAGAGAGAGAGAGAAAGAGAGACAGAGAGAGCATGAGAAGTGGGAGGGTCAGAGGGAGAAGCACTCTCTGCCGAGCAGGGAGCCAGATGTGGGACTCGATCCTGGACTCCAGGATCATGACCCAAGCTAAAGGCAGTTGCGCAACCAACTGAGCCACCCAGGCACCCTATGTCATAGAAAAAAAATTTTTTTAAAGCCTTTATTTATTCATTTGAGAGAGAGAGAGAGATCACAAGCAGGCAGAGAGGCAGGTAGAGAGAGGGGAAACAGGCTCCCCACTGAGCAGAGAGCCCAATGTGGGGCTTGATCCCAGGACCCTGAGATCATGACCTGAGCCGAAGACAGAGGCTTAACCCACTGAGCCACCCAGGTGCCCCTGTCATAGAAATTTTGAGCATGAATGGAAATGATCAAAGAATTGTCCAAGCAATGGAATTTTAGAAAGCATGTATTTTAGATAAGTGCTATCCTTTTTCCTTCAAAAGTTTAATGAAGCAAAGATCTTTCCCCCATCAAGTGTGCCCAGCAATGACAATAGCAAAGATTCAAAGTCTCAATACCACTGCACAAAGATTCGGTACTGCTTGCTCTTTTACTTGCTGACATTTCTGAAACTCTGGCATCCTTATTTTATTCTTCTATTTTCCTCTGAGACCTCAATGGAAAATTTCACAATTTTTCATTTTTATAAAAAAGAAACAACTAAGAGCATGAGTTAAGGCTGGAGAGAGTGAAAGCAAGTTTTGGACAAATTTCCCCCACATAAGCTCTGGCAACCTACCTCAGGACTGACCTCTAATGTCCTTGCTATTCTTGTCTTGGGTGTCTCATGAGAGAAGACTACTGTCTTGCCAAATGCAAAGGAGTTTGGTCAGATGGATCTGCTTCTCTGAAGGGTAAGGATGCGACCACCCAACGTCTGTTGACTTGCACTTTAATTCAAATTTTAGAAAGAGGAGCTGAAGCTGCATTCAAGTCAATTATGTTAAGACTGCATCCTGGCTCCCAACATAGTGACTAGGAAATGGCATTAGGCACAAATTCCCCAATTTATATAAGTGCAAATGCAAACTGATGATCACTGACTATATCCTGACAAAACTCCACAAATGGCATAATCCCGCAACACCTCGGTGTGAAATGAACAGAATGACTCCAAATCTATGCAAAAATCAAGGGAAAGTTTTAGTTTCACAATAATTCTATTGCATATATGCAAAATTGAAAATACCCTGACTCTCTACAAATGCTTGTCCCTGAAAGTTACCCATAATTTAGCCCTTTATAAATCCAACCTCTTTTGATTACTCTCACAAAACATACACACACATACTCCTTTACACATACTCACTTATCACATTCCCACTTCCGTGATGTGTCCACTTTTCTTCTCTTGCCTTTTACTTCTGCCTTATAGATTTCTCTCTCCCCAGCTATGAGTCTATCCATTCCTTGAAGCCCACATAACTCTACCTATCCAATAATCCAGTTGTCTACCCACTTCTCCATCTAGGAAGTGATGGGGGAAATTTAAGTACCCAGTGAATAAACTATATTAAGGGAGAATTTTAAATAGGGTTCCCTAGACAGCTTTCCCACTGAGACCATCCATGGCTGTACCCGAGTTATAGCAGAATAAGGATCTGCATGCTAAGTAATTATTCTTTTACTTTTTCCCAACCTGGGATGTTAATAACCCTGAATTTTTTTTTTATTCACAATGTTCTTTTTGAAAAGTGTAAAAATCTCAACCATTCCTACAGTAAACTAAAGGGGACTTACCTATTCTTAAGGCAAAATAGCTTAGAAGATCTAACTGCTCTCAGTTACATCACATGGTAGGAATACTGACTTAAGATGAAAGACTGGTATTGGCATTTGAGCTAGAACAAAGAATAGGAATGAGAAAAGGGGGTGACTGGTTTGTCAAGAGAAAGGGAAGATGGTAAGAACTCACAGTTAACAACAGTTTTAACCTCCTATTCCTTTCCAACCTAGGGTTCTATATTAGAAGTTACCTTAAAAAAAAGATACTGAGTTAATTGCCTAAGATATTCTTAGTTCTTCTTAAAAACATAGCAAGGAAAATATAATATTTTGGATTTATCAAGGTATTATAATAAAAGAATCTGCAAACTCTATTAGCATCACCAATTCTCCAAGTACTTAAGTAACTGTATAATTTAGCTTTTAAATTTCATTTTATTCTTTTAATTAATATTTACTGGAGAGATGATGAATAAAAATAGTTGTGCCTAATGTTGTTGGTGTGTTTAATGTCTGTGTGACAGACAACAAATGATCACACAAGCCAAGTATACAATTAAACACAGTGTTGCTTTCTATGGTGAAAACCACAAAGCACTATGAGGGTATAATGGAAGATCAAATTTATTTATTTATTTATTTATTTAAAAGATTTTATTTATTTATTTGACAGACAAAGATCACAAGTAGCCAGAGAGGCAGGCAGAGAGAGAGGAAGGGAAGCAGGCTCCCCGCTGAGCAGAGAGCTCAATGCAGGGCTTGATCCCAGCACCCTGGGATCATGACCTGAGCGGAAGGCAGAGGCTTTAACCCACTGAGCCACCCAGGTGCCTTGGAAGATCAAATTTATATAGAAGAATCAGGAAACCTGAGATCCAGAGGATGAGTACGGGTTAGTTAGGTAGAACGTAAAGGAATTATATTTCAGTAATATTGTGGACTACATATCCAGTGAAATTATATCACTAAAAAGTACATAAAAATATTAAACTATCTAGCATACTCTTTAATACATGGATGAGCTCACATAGAGATAGAAATTCTGAAGCCAGGAATTAAAAAGGAAATTTTCACTGACTAGCTTCTGGCTCCATATATTTTTAACCTTTTTTCTGTCGATCCACAAACTCCAGTGCTGGGAACTAAAGCACATATTCATTTTAGGATATAATCTCTGGCTTTTCACCTTTATTTGACAATGGCTGGGTAAGCTGGTTATTTCCTACACTAAGATGGCTAGCAATAGCTAGACTATACATAAAAGTGAGTGTGAAACCAAATGAATTTCCTGTTATCAAGACCTTCAAAATATCCATACCTCTCCAAAATAGCCTGACATGACAGGAAGTATGATGGACAGTAAGAAAGAATGAAATAAAAACAAAGGTCTTTAAAACAATATTTTTTGAGTACAGTTGACACACAATGTTGTACTAGTTTCAGGTATACGACATACTACGCTCACCAGAAGTGTAGCTACCATCTGTCACCACAGAATACTATAACAGCATCATTGACTATATTTCCTATGCTGTGCCTTTTATTCCCATGACTTATTCACTTAACTGGAAGCCTGTATCTCCCATTCCTTCTGGCCTATATATTTGCCCATCCCCTACCATCCTTCTCTCTGGCCACCATTAGTTCATTCTCTGTATTTATAGATTTGATTCTGCTTTTTGTTTACTCATTTACTTTGTTTTTTAGATTTCATATATTGTGAAATCATATTATTACCCTTAGCAAAACACTATCTAGGTCCATCCATGTTGTTGCAAATGACCAAATCAAACCAAACCAAACAAAACTCAACCCTTTTAATGGTTGCAGAATATCCTATTGTAGATTTTTTATATAAATGGTATATATATATATACACACACACACACACACGCACACACACATACACATACACACACACACACATCTTTATCCATTCATCTATCAATGGACACTTAGGCTGCTTTCATATCTTGGATATAAATAATAGTAAATAATGCTGCATAAACATAGGGAGTGCATATATCCTTCTGAACTAGTATTTTTGTTTTCCCAATATTGCAATTATTGGATCATATGCTATTTCTATTTATGATTTTCTTGAGGAACCTCCACGCTGTTTTCCACAGTGTCTGAACCAATTTACATTCCCACCAGCAGCGCATGAGGGTTCCTTTTTCTCTACATCCTTGACAACACTTATTATTCTTGTCTTTTTTATTTTATCCATCTGACAGGTATAAGGTGATATCTCATTGTGGTTTTGAACTGCATTTCTCTGTCAGTTAGTGATGTTGAGCACCTTTTCATGTGTCTGTTGACCATTTTAATGTGTTTTGGGGAAAAATTTCTACTCAGGTCCTCTGCCCATTTTTCAATATGATTGCCCCCTACCTTTTTGGGGGGACAGGGGTTGACTTTACAAGTTCTTTATATATTTTGAATATTCACCCATTGTCAGATATATCATTTGTAAATATCTTCTCCCATTCAGTAGGTTGCCTTTTTGTTTTGTTGATGGTTTCCTTCACTGTGCAAAAGCTTTTTATTTTGATGTAGCTGCAACAGTTTATTTTTGTTTTTGTTTCCCTTGCTTTAAAAGACATATCCAGAAAAATGTTGCTACAGCTGATGTTAACGAAACTACTGCCTGTGTTCTCTTCTGGGGGTTTTACTGTTTCAGGTCTCACCCTTAGGTCTTCAACCCATTTTGAGGTGGTTGTGTGTGTGTGTGTGTGTGTGTGTGTGTGTGTGTGTATAGTGTTAGAAAATGGTCTAATTTCATTCTTTTGCATATAGTTCTCCAGCTTTCTCAGCACATTTGTTGAAAAGACTGTCTTTTCCCCATTGTATACTTTTGCCTCCTTTGTCATAGATTAATTGACCCTGTAAGCATGGATTTATTTCTGTACTCATTAAGACAAGTGCACACCTAATCCCCTTCACCGATTTCAACATTCCTCACTCCTACCCCAACTTTCCCTCTGGTAACCCTTTGTTCTCTGTCATTAACAGTCTGGTTTTTGGTTTGTCGCCCCCCCCCCCCTTGTTTGTTTCTTAAATTACACATACGAGTGAAATCATATGGTACTTGTCTCTGACTAACTTATGCTGCTTAGCATTATACTGTCTACATTCATCCATGTTGTTGCAATAGGCAAGATTTCATTGTTTTTTATGTAGATGCTAAGAATTGTTAAAAATTCAATGTAGGCCCTACCTTCAGGGACTTCACAGTCTAGTAGGGAAGACAAACACATAAGTCAGGTACAGGCTGATCATATCATAATAGAGATATAAGTATGCCACAGAAACCAGAAAGGACTTGGTGTTGACATTTGTTCACATTAGTACTACATAACCAACAAAGAATTGATTAATAAGAATTTTAAAAATATGCAAACACCTTGAGGCATAATATGATGAAAAACAGACCATAAGATCCAAGATGCCTACTCTAGGGAGGGCTGGGGCAGGATAGCAGTTAAGTTGCCTCAGAATCAAATATTATGCAAAGATTCCTTCTTTATGTCATTCCTCTGACAAGGTTTTTCTGAAGAGAGAAGGAAGTGTCAGAAAAGGGATATGGGGAAATTATTCTGATATCCACAGAGGCAACAATTATTTTCTCTGTGTAAAAAAACAAAAACAAAACAGTAACAATAGAAAGATTACATTTGTGTTGAGATGCATCAAAAAGTATCAATTAACAAGAGTAATGATAAAAAAAAAAACAAGCAAAAAGATAAGAAACCCACTGCTAAATTACTTAGTCAAAACTTAGATATTTCTAAAACAGTGAATGAAAGATGGCAGTATTTTGAAGGGTTTGCAGTTAACACACTATAAATGTATTTTCTTTTGTAGTTGGAGAAAGTCGTGGAAAAATATAAAGAATCTCATAGACGAATCCTGGAACAACTTTTAATGGCAGAAAAATCTCATAGGCAAACCATATTGGAGTTGGAAGAAGAAAAGAGAAAACATAAAGAATACATGGAGAAGAGTGATGAATTCATAAGCTTACTAGAACAGGAATGTGAAAGGTAAGGCTACTGTGGACATGACAATGATCCATTCTGCAAACTCTTACTAACCTTTCACTATGGGCTCAACATTGTACCAGGGATACAGGGATGAATATGACATAGCTTCTGCTCTTAAAGATCTCATGGTCCAGAGGGAGGAAGAGGATGTGTTTAAAGATAATTTGAATATAAAGTGATAACCAGGTATGATAAAAACTATGGAAACATAAATGCTGGGCACCTTATTCTGCAAGGGAGTGCTTTGTGAAAGGGGCAGAGGAGGTAACAGGGGTCTAGTCCCTATGCAAACAAGAATGGAAACTACATACAAGGCAGGGGCAGAAATAAGTGTCACAGCATAGAGATAAAATAGTATGGGTAGTGAGGGAACTCAACATGACTACAGTACAGGGTGTAATTGCAGGATGAGAAAAGGAAAGGCTAGCCACAAGCAGATGGATTTTATACTGTTGGCAAGAAGGGACAAATGACAAATTGTGAGAAGAGGAAAGAGCTGATCAGGTATGATTTCTTGAAGAACCATTAAGGCAACATGGAGTAAAGACAGGAGCTTTAAACTAGGGGAAGGTATAAGTTCCAGTGGCTATGGGGTTAGAGAGAAGAGGGTATGAACAAGAAAATACTTATGATGCACAGTCAATACTAATGAGTGACTAATGAGACTAGAGAGCAGAGGAAGAAATACAAGGAGTTTTGAGAAGCACTCTGGGCTAGTCACCAAGGTACAATACATAGGAATGGTGCACAGCTTTTTGCTGGTGGAGAAGATGGCTCTAAAGTGGGGGCAGGTCCTGTTTTAGACATGCTGAGTATGAGGTACCTGGTGTATTCTGATGTCCAGTGGGGAGAATGATATATCTAATTAAACAACATACAGTTGGAAATATGGGTCTGGAAAATGTTGGGCCAGTGATGTGGATTTGCAGCTGGTGATAGCTGAAGCAATGAGTGCTGGTATGGTGAGGAGAGAGAATTCTGAGAAAGGAACTCCAGAAGAATCAATGGCTCGCTGTTTTCTGAAGAACTAGAAGGGAAAGAAAGCAAAGAAACCAAACAAGGAAAGACTTTCAAGCAATACAGAAAAGGAGAAGAAAATGTCCCAGGACTTTGCAACAAGGAAGACACTGGGAAACTTAATGAGTCCTTTCAATAAAACAGTGAGGGCAGCAGCCAAATAACAATGCTTTGAAGAGTAAATAAGAAACAAGAACGTGGGGCGCCTGGGTGGCTCAGTGGGTTAAAGCCTCTGCCTTCAGCTCAGGTCATGATCCCAGGGTCCTGAGATCAAGCCTCACATCGGGCTCTCTGCTCAGCAGGGAGCCTGCTTCCCCTCCTCTCTCTCTCTGCCTGCCTCTCTACTTGTGATCTCTGTCAAATAAATAAATAAAATCTTTAAAAAAAAAAAAAAAAAGAAACGAGAACGTAGCAGCTTAAATGTGAACTATTATTTTGAGAGGTTTGGCTGCAAAAAAGGAGAGATTGGTTGGTAAACATTTTGTAACCATATGAAGGGCAGATTATTTTGCTCAATTTTGCCCCTCTGTTCTGAATCACCTTAGAAAATATGAGCCTTCATTTGAAATGGAAAGGACAATTAAGGCTCTATACTGATAATACAAAGATAGAAAAGAACCTATCATTGCAATATCAAATTTTACTGAACTGCCATTTCACTTCTGTTATTCCATGTGTACTTCTGAGTTACAAAGCTAATGGTGCTGCATTCTAATAATCACAGAAAAAAAATAATGATTTTTCTAAAATATAAGTAGTCTCAGTGCTTTTTTTAAACTACTTATAATTCATATTTTAGCTAGGTAACTGAAGTTACACAATAGCTAGGTTAATGGCAAAGTTTCATTTCTTACTTCACGGTAGACAGTTGGTCTGATTCCCAGAGAATCCATGGCCCTCACATCCAGTTACTTTTTTTCCACATTCATCAGGAGGTTTGTTTTCTACTCACTACATGGGGGTGGGGGTAGGGGTGGGGGGAGTTGTTACCTTGAGCTTCATGAACTTGAAATATCTTGAGGGGAAGATTAAAGGAGTATGAGAAGTCTGGCACCAAGGGAAGATTTGACTCAGACATTACAATGTAAGATTTGTTATTCAATGAGACAATGTTATATTAAATATTATTTCGAACCCCTGTGGTTTGGCACCCGTGGCCTCATTTGGCCTCCACATTTATTTGGCACTAACTTGCTGAACACAGACACTTTCTTTCATCTTTCATTATTATGAACATTTATTGACCACGGTTAGAGTGCTGCTTGCCATAGAACAAAGAAGTACTGGTTGTCCCTCTCCAGAGGGCTTACCACATTAACAAAGAAGGCAACACATTACAGATTTAGGGTAGGAATGTGGAGGGCTGTCTGAGGTACAGTTTTAACATTCACTGCTGTGCCTCAACTATCTTCTAGTGGAAGGCTTAGGATGACATCCAGAAATAATGCTGGGAGGCAGATGAAGATTATTTAAACTAAGAAAGGGCAAAGAGAACAACACTGAGAAATGGGAACAAAAATTCAGTGGGAATAAAGGCCATGAGCTAGAGGAAAAGGAAAACAGTGAGACAAATGTAAATTGTATCCCATGGAATCAATATATTAGAATGGAATTTCTACATGTATCAAGGGGGCTTAAGAGGAAGAATTTAAAAGATCATGTTTTTTAGCCTTTGGACACAAAATTTCTTCATCTTAAAGAATAATGAAAGTGGGGCTCCTGGGTGGCTCAGTGGGTTAAGCCTCTGCCTTCGGCTCAGGTCGTGATCTCGGGGTCCTGGGATTGAGCCCTGCATCGGGCTCCCTGCTCGGCAGGGAGCCTGCTTCCTCCTCTCTCCCTGCCTGCCTCTCTGCTTACTTGTGATCTCTGTCAAGTAAATAAATAAAATCTTAAAAAAAAAAAAAAAGAAGAATGAAAGTGAACATACCATTGCCAAAAATAGGAAAAAGTGACTGGAGTGACTCTTATTCCTATGTAGCAGCCATTCCAGAAGATATGAAAATCACCTATTTCTGTTTGCCAAGGAACAGCTTTCAGATGGAACTCTTGGGATAAGAGATTGTTAAATGTATTATCAACTCACATGATATACAGACAATTCTTGCCCTATTCTGCCCATACAACACCACAACTCCCGTTATCTTGGCACCCTTGTTGCACTGGTCCTTCTTGCTCCCCTACCTTCAACAAGGAGACTGTGGCCTGAGGACTTCTCCCTGCTTGAGGGCCATTTGCATCAAAATATTACATGAAATCCACCTAACAAAACAAAGTGGGTAAAACTATAATAATTGAGGCGGTGCTTCCACGAGTGAAATACCACTCATTTGCTTCATTCTCTGACAAGGGACAAAACAACATGTGCACCATCATGGAGTCTTTTTAACTTTATTGAGAGTACTTCCCCTTGAGCACATAGCCACTCTTCACAAAAGCAAGATGAACTTGTCTTAAGAGGTCAAAGAATAATGTTGATTTCCTTCCTCAAACAAAGTAATAGAAGCCACTCCCAAATCAATGACCCTCAGTACAGAGAAACAAAGACAGATATCATAATCCCCACAAAAAGGGAGTTGGGTGAGGATAACTATAATAGACTATCTGACTGAAACTCTGAAAAAACACTGCGAATGTTTCTCGGTTGGTAAGTGTTGGATAATATCTGTATGGAAATAAAATAAAAATTAAGAAATACATGATTGAGATAAGTTAAAGAGACCTTAGAGGGTATAATAATGGATTTCAAATTTAGGCTCAATTTCTGTGTTTTCCTGGGAGAATGTGTTTTATGTGGAAAACCCTAAAGGAGACTGATGTCACAGGTTTTTAGGCCAAAATGTTTGCCAACTGATGTAGTTGTCGTAATCAGTAAACAATTGGTTTTCCCACTGAGGGAGGATGGGGGCAGGGATGAGCTCAGGAAACCATTCCCAAGCATGTTAATGCAAAGTTTCCTTTGCTGTAATCTGGGCAGTTTGGTCTGTCCATAAGGTGACATTATCCACATTTCATGACCACTTTCTGTTCACTGACCAGTTCCAGTGTGTGGATATGTGTGTCACTGATGACCTGAATTATGTACTTGGCTGAATTACAAGTGGAGTCTACGTGAAATGTTTTATATAAAAGCGATGCCAGTAATTTTTGACCTTTCTGGATGGCTTCACAGGAAAGCCAAAACAAAAATCACTTTTAGTCAGTACAAGTTTGCAAAATTTTCCCATAAGTGAAATGCCAAATCTGTCTGTACTTTCAAAAAAGCTTACATAATTTCTTTTTCCTTTTTCAGTTTCAGTGGGGGAAAAGGCTGTGAAGAAAAAAAAAGTTTCCTTTTTTTTTTTTTTTGACATCATGCATTATTTTTTAGAATACAAAAACAAATCATGTATATTAACCATACATGTTATTACATTTTGGGCCTTGAAGTAACCATTAAAGTGGGAAACAAATATTACGGCAACTCTGTATAAAAATATGGCTTCAACCGTGAATTTTTTTTTTTTAAAGCCTTAAATTACTTTTCATAATATCTTGGCCAAATAGGTTAGCATTGATACTCTGACTTCATAAAGCAGGAGTTCAAATGCTGGCTTCTCAAAAGCCACATAGTGAAGAAAGAGTCACAGGTAGAATTTCTTGTTCCTGTCCTGCCCAAGAGTTTCTAGATAGAACAGTGGCCCTGGAAGAAGAAGGGTTGTTAGAGTAAAGTCACCAGGGACCCAGCTTCAAGGGTTGCTGCCCTGACCACACCTTGGGCTAAGTCTTTTGTTGTTTAGGCTTTAGTGAAGAACAAAGCACTTCTACCTCTCCTTTGGCTGAGGGAACTTTATAAAAAAAGATTTCCATCATCAAACCTTTCCCATTATGAAAGGCCTATTTTGCAGATGGGCATCAGACAAAGTGACTGAAAAGTCGAGCCATATTCACCTTCTTGTTAACTGAGGATATTTGAGTACCTTAAAAAAAATAATAAGTTTTTTAAA